GACTGTAATAATACTGTATAATTATCCTTTTGATTTCATTAGGGGGCCATTGAAATGTCCCCTCATCCCTTTCTATTGAAATGTGTTCCCTCCTTTCTTTGGTTAGGTTTGCCAGCGGTCTGTTGATTCTGTTAATCCTATCAAAGAACCAACTTTCAGCTGCATTAATATTTCCATAATTTTCTTGTTTTCCCTCTCATGAATCTCAGCCTTGATTTTTATTATTTCTTTTATTTTTTTCTTAGTAGAATTGTCCTGTTGACTGCTTTAATTGCTGTAAGTTTTATGTCAGCATATCAATCATAAGTCGTCTCTTCCTTTTTCATGTGTGTATATATTGCTGTCAAACTCCCTCTGATAACTGCCTTTGCTGTGTCCCAAAGGTTTTGGTATGTCTGTTCTCATTCTCATTGGTTTCTAGCAATTTCCTGATTTCATCTCTGATCTGGGCCAGCACCCCCTCTTTTTGCAGTAAACAGTTATTAATCTTCCAATTGTTTGCCCTTGTTTTCTTAATCGTCCTTTCGTTGATTTCCAACCTTATGTCATAGTGGTCGGAGAGAGAAGTCTGTATGATCTCTACGTGCTTGAATTTACACAGGTTCAACTTATGTCCCATCTTGTGTTCTATCTTGGAGCGTGTGCCATGTGGACTTGAAAAGAATGTGAATATTTTTGCATTTGGGTGTAGACCTCTGAAAATACCTCAGGCCAGGTCGTCTGATCGTAATGTTTAGATATGTAGCCTCCTTGGTAAGCTTCTTTCCTGGTAATCCATCTTTCTCAGAGAGTGGTGTAATAAAGTCACCTACTATAAGTTTCTTTTTTCATTTTTTGGAGTATTTGATTGACAACGTTCGTGGATCTCTTGTTGGGTGCATATGTATTTATTATGCTCACCGGTTCTTGGTCTACATTTTCCCTTGAGCATTATATAGTGTCCCTCCTTATGTGTTGTTATGGCTTGCACCTTGAGATCAATTTTGTCCGAGATTAGGATTGCAACCCCTACTTTTTTAATTGTCATTTGCTTGGTATATTTTTCTCCAGTCTTTAATTCTCACCCTCTTTTTGTCTGTTATCCTAAGATGTGTCTCGTGTGGGCAGCAATTTGAAGGGTTGTGTTTTCTAAGCCAGTCTGCTAGCCTCTGCCTTTTAATGCCTGCATTCAGTCCATTGATCTTCAGGGTTATTACATCCATCTATGGACTCTGTGATGTCATCTTATACCTTTTGTGTTGGTTTGTTTTTCTACTTCCCTTTCTTAGTGTGATTTGCGTGCTCACACGTTGTGTGTTTCATTCTTGACTTCTTTCCTTCCTTAAGCCATTGCTATCTTTCCTACCCTCTGGGTGGGTTTGTTCTATGTGGTCGTCTCTTATTTGTGATCAGTGAGTGCTGTCCTTCTGCCCATACTGAATCAGGCTGAGTTTGTAGGACTGGGTTTCTTTTTAACGTATTCTTTGAGTTTTTCCTTGTCTGGGAAGACTCTTACTTCTCTATCTATCTTGATCGATAATTTGGCTGGGTAGAGTATTCTTGGGTTTGCATTGTGTTCCTTCAATTTTTGGAATATGTTACTCCACTCACTCCTCTTCTTCATAGTTTCTGCTGATAGATCTGAGCATATTCTTATTTGGGAACCTTTATTTGTGATGACTTATTTTTCCCTAGCTGTTCTCATGATTTTCTCCTTTTCCTCATAGTTGGGTAGTTAAATATCATATGCCTTGGTGACTTCCTGGGATTCAGTCTAGCTGGTGTTCTTTCAGCCTCCTGAATGGTTGCCTGGTTTTCATTCATTGAGCTGAGGAAGTTTTCCTCGAAGAATTCCCTTGCTCTTTTTGCCATTGACTTTGTTGTGTCTTCGTCTGGTAATCCAATTATTCTGATGTTGTTCCTATTCTTAGCATCAGGCATAGCTCTCAGGTTTTCTTCAGCTTCTCTGATTATCTTTGACTTTTTCCACCTTTTTAAAAGTCTGCTTGCCTTTCACAGCGCTCTGTGTGGCTGAGAGCTCTTGCCCATACTCTGCGGTCCCATGTGGCCGAGGGAACCTCCTCCCACTGGCCATAGTGCCTCACACGGCCTAAGGCAGATCCGCTAATACTCTCTAGTACTCCAAGCTGCTGTGGGAACCTCTGCCTAACCTACGCAGTGATCTAGCTGACTAGGGCAATTCCGCCCACCATTTGTGGTGCTCTACACAAAAACGGGCACAACCACCTGCCTATTGTGGTACTCTTGTTCCAGAAGGCATCCCTTGCATGCCCTCTGGGGTGCCCAAAGCCACCATGGGCCATACCACCATGGCTTCCTGTAAGATCATCCAGTGCAGCACTATCCTTATAGGTCCACAGTCACCCAACCAGCACCCTCTGAGAGAATCATCCAACTTGCCCTCCAAATAACAGAATAATGGTTGGCTAGGGAAAGAATGAAACCAAGATAAAGTGGTAGCCCAGTCCCATAGTGTAATTAGCTGCAGGCTGCTCGAAGAAGCATTCCTACGATTCTCCCAGAGAGAGCCAAATGCTCTTCAACTCTCTGGAAAACGGCGCCAGGCTCCTTTTAAAACAACACAACACAACCAGCAATCAGCCCCAACAACCTAAATGAAAAAAAACCAGGAGAAACAAAAATGTTGGAAGAAGCATTGCTCTGCCACAGAAGAAAATCTTAATTTGTCATCTTAACTAAAAATGTTTTGGAATTTTATTTTCAGCATGAATGATAAATATAATTTATGACATGTAATTTACCAGTTACATATGAATACTGTATATTCTTATACATCTTTATCTTTTTTACTTACAAATAAAAGAGAAAAAGACTTTTATTCTAGCCCACTTGAGTTTTCAAATTATACACAGGAACCACACATTCTTTTCCCAGAATTATAGGTGAGATTTGCTATATACTTCCTATTTGCTGCTATTTCAACTTACTGCACTCTGCATAAGAAGCCCTGGTGGCAATGTGGGACAAGTATTGGACAAGGTGAATTGATTCAGTGGTTGCAGTGCTGGGCTCAGACATAAGAAAGATTGTGAGGATGGCACAGGACTGGGCAGGGTTTCATTCCGTGTACTCTGTGAGTTGGAACTGACTAGACAACACCTAACAAAAACATATGTAACAATGTATGTTTTTAATGTAATCTTAAATCCGCCAATATTTAGAAGTCCAGGTCTGAAATTTTGATGATTGAGTTCAGAGTTAAATGTTAATGGATCTTTTACAATTGAAATGATGTTAGCATAAAACCAATCCAAACTCACTGCCATTGAACAAGTTGATTCCTACGCAAAGGGATTCTATAAGACAGGGTTGGAGGAACCTGTGGGTTTTCAAGACTGTAACTCCATTTGGGGTATTAGAAAGCCTCACTTTTTCCCACAGAGAGGCTGGTGGTTATCTCCGTAGAAAATAATTCTAGTTTTGTTATTAAGTTGTTGATTGCTTTATCATCTAGAAACTTAATTATACCCACAGTAGTAAAGTTAATATGTATTTTCTGAGATTCTAGTTAATTTAATATTAACACTTTTTGAGCTGAAATTGAAAAGTTCTTTATACTAAACCTCAAAATTCTCAAATTGCTGGGTGATCATGAGGTGTCGACGGGATCAAGTAACAGGCTTCAGAAGACCCAAAATAAAAAAGACACATATTGTTGCTAATGAGGGGGTCTCTGCTAATGAGCAGAGACCCAAAACCCATCTGTAGACAATAGGACATCCCCTCACAAAAGGGTCACACAGAAGGGATGAGTTAACCAGTATAGCACTGATGAAACACACAATATTTCTCTGGTTCCTTGAGGCTTCCCTTACCCCCCACTATCATGACCCCAGTCCTGCCTTTCAGTTCTGACTAGACCGGAACATGTACACTGGTACAGATAAGAGCTCATGACACACGGAATCAAGGTCAGTGATACCAGGAGGGTAGGTGAAATGTGGGGAGAGGAGGGGAGCAAAGGGAAACTGATTGCAAAGATCATTGCATAACACCCCCTCCCCCAGGGGGACAAATAACAGAAAGGTGGGTGAATGGAGACAGTGGTTGGTATAAGATATGAAATTAATAACATATCAAGAGGTCACAAGGGGTGGGAGGGGAAGGAGTTGATATGAAGGGATCAAATAGAAAATAAAGGTTTAAAAAATGATGGCAATATATGTACAAATATGCTTGATACAGTTGATGTGGGGATTGTTATCACAGCTGTAAGAGCCCCCAATAAAATCATCTTTAAAAAAAATACTCGAATGATACATCTTGAAGTGTGATCAGCTTTTTTAATTGGTCAGATGTAATCATAATTTACCTGCTAATTAATCAAACTGGCTACAAAGCTTTAACTGCTGGAAATTCAGAGCTAGTTCTCATCATATATGAAGGAACAGTGTGTATGTTTACTGAGCCAAGACTGAATTTATTCAAAAAGAGGGCGTTCAAGCTGGTGTTGAGTGATCCCTCACTAACTGTGTGTCTGTATAAAATTTAGCTTGGGAGTGAACCACTGGTCACTATATGTCCAAAGAAATATGTGTTGTTAATATTTATACTCTGAGGAGATCCTGTTAAAACATTAAAAATTGCAATCCATTTTATGTTTGAAAGTTTTAGCCAGTTGTTACCTAATTTGGTTGAGAAAGTTACAATGTTTCTCTGATTAATAATCTGCTATAAATGTCTTCCTACCAGCTGTGCTTATAACAAATGGAAGTATTTTTCCTGGTAAAAAGTAGTTTATCTTTTTTAATTATTTACATTTTAGCTGTATGCCTCAGCTGATGAAAATTTTGCTTTACTAGATTTTTAAAAATAACTATATTACTACTTATGAATTCTTAGAGATAGAAAGAAAAAGTAAAGTTTCTATAGTTATATTTCTAAATTAAATATCTTTCCATTAATGAAAGTTGGAGATATTCTTTCACCATGCTTACTAATTTCTGACTGGATTAATTAAGGTGAGTTCTTTGTTTTAGGAAGAATTTGGCTACAATGCAGATACCCAGAAGCTGCTAGCTAAAAATGGAGAGACTCTTCTTGGGGCTATTAATTTTTTCATCGCCAGTGTGAATACTTTGGTGAATAAAACTATTGAAGATACCTTAATGACTGTGAAACAGTATGAAAGTGCCAGGTAAGTACATTTCAACAGTACATCTGGTCAATATGGCCAGAAAAAGAGTGCCTTAGGAGGTTACAAGGAGCCTACCAAACTAGTTTGGAAACAACCAAAGTAATATCTCAGAAGAATTTAATTAGGACCTGATTATAGATGTCTCCAGGACTTGATATCCACAACAGCCAAAAATAATTTCCAAACGTCCCTTGACATTTGGCTCTATTACCTTGGGGTTCAGAGTACTAGATAAGGATGTCCAGTTCATTGAACCTTGGCCATATGCCCAAACCCTGCCTGCTAAGGTAAAGGAAAGGGAGGATCTCCAAGCTGAACTTCCTTGGAGGAGGACAGGGTCCTGTACTCTCCATAATCTGCTCTCAGCCTGCCTTCTCACCATATTACCACTGCGTCCCAATGTAACCCTTACACAATAGCCAGACCCATTGTTTAGTTTCTCTAAAATATACCAAGCTCCTTTTTGGCTCCTTGATTTTGTTTATGTGTGGACATCAGCTCCCCATCTTCCTTTCTCCAGAATATATAACCAACCTTCCACCTATTCAAGTTTATGTTTACGGGGAGACAATATATGTCTTCTATTTTGGTAGCTTTTTATAATACTGTGTTTTTATATGTGGTATTTCATATAGTTTCTCTATCGTAATTGTCATCCAGTCAATTCTGCCTCAAATAGTTCCCTTATATAGTTTCCAAGGCTGTATATCTTTATAGGAGCACTTAGCATCTTCTTTCTCCTATGGAGCAGCTGATGGGTTTGAACTGCCAACCTTGTAGTTAGTCATCCAAAGCTTACCCAACAGCACCACCAGGGTCCCATAAGTGAGCAAAGTACCTGTTAATAAATATGTCTATCTAAAAAGTAGCAACCCTGTAGTAGCAACTTTTGGGTTCTGGTTCAGTTTTTTCCCCCATAGATCATGCTACTTTTATGCAAATATGAAAACCTTTTAAGTTTGTTTCCTTCAGAACCCTTGGAATCTTTATTTTCTCTTATGTTTTATAGAATAGTTGAAGATAGAGCTAAATTTTACCTTTAAGAAATATAAGTTTAGCTTTTGACTTCTTGCTTTAATTTAGTGACGTGACAAATACCTTTGAAAACTCTAAACTTAGCTATTTTTTTTTGTAATTTTGGTCTGTTATTAAGTGTATGTTTTCTTATGCTTTCAATAAATAAAAGCCCAAAGCACTTGGAAAAGTTTCTTTTTGATCTGTTTCCAATAAGAGATGTTTGTGTCCTGTGCTGTTTGTGATTTCCAGTTTCTTGTTAACATAGAAGATTATAAAAACTCTTCATGTCTGGCACTGAAGATCAAGACAAGCAGATGTGGTCATCTATTGAGGGAAAATGAGGGCAGTATGGTTTATTTGTGTTTTGAACTTGGTTTTTACTATAATTTTGTACTAACATGCTACTAAAACTCAGGATATGCTAAGAGGAGGGATGAAATAGAAGGAATGTGTACTGTTGGATAAATCCCCTCAGTAAGCCCACTTCTGGTTTTCTCGTCTCTAAATCCTTTTTTGGGCATTGCCTGTATTATTCAAAGTATTCATTGTACATATTTTTCATTTCTACCAGTTCTATTTGAATCTTTTCCAAATCTGTCTGTTCCTTAACCATTATGTCCAAATTTGTTCATGATAAACACCCTATCTCTCTAATCACTTTTTCTTGGCCTTTCTAATTGATTTAATACTTTTAAGTCAATAAAGGTGGAAATTATTTGATTCCAAAAACACCCTTCCCTGCCACTTCCCACTTACAGACTATGTGACTCTAGTTTCTGTGTCCCTGCTTTAAAATTATTCACCTATGCTAAAATATATTTAAGTCACTCCGCATTTAATAGCCTTCCCTGCAGTCTTTACTTCTAACATTTTAAAAAGTGAAATCCATAATGAAGTTAGATTTCTCAGAAAAGTTATTGTTCATACATAAAACTATAATTTACCAAGAAGAAAATTGAGAATCTGGAAGTTCAGTAAGCTGCTCACTTCTAACCACTTTCAAAGCCATGATAATCAGTGAACCTTAAGTCTGAACTTAAAATTTCCACATCTAATTATATGAAGTGACTTTCACATCTCATATTTAAAGTAGAAAGGTTTCAATTTTACATAATATTTATGTGTGAAACAGTTAAGTTATATCTGCTTAAGAGCTGGTTATTTAAAGGAATCCACAGACAGTTGTTAAGTGTACTATGAAAATTAACAAAGTTACCCATAATTTTTTATTTTTTATTATTTATGATTTTATGTATTAAGCTTAGCTGAGTTTTGGCTTTTCTGCCCTGTTTCTGAACTAGTGATGGAATTGATTGATTCTAACACTGTAGCTATTAACTCCAAACCTGCAACACCCACCTATTGAGAGAGAATATTCACAAAGAACCCCAGATTTCTTAGTAGCTGGATTTCCTTCTCAGTTAAAAGTAGAATTTACTGACTTTTACATCAAGGGTCATCTATTTAATCATTACCAAAAGTGGTAATTTAGGTTCCCTCTTTTCCTACCCACACCTGCTCTGTATTAGTTTTTCATAAGCCATAAAGTAACCAACTATCATTAATTGTATTGATATGGAATCAGTTCAGGTTAGTAATTGAAGTAATAGTTCCAGTTGGAAAATTTAGTGCACTTCCTTTCTTGGTGTGTGTATTAGTCTAATTACTTTAGAGAAACAAATCCACAGCAACTCATATATAAGAGAGTTTTATGTAAAGAAAGTGTGCATCATGAAAACATCCCAACACAATGCTGCCCAAGCCCACAAGTCCAACATTAACCCATATGTCCAACACCAATCCACAAAGTCCTCCTCCATCTCACAAAACAGACGCAGTGATGCCAACTGCAGGAAGAAAGTTGAATCAGTGAACGAATAAGCATCTCAGCACTGGCAGGGGTCTTCACACGGCTGCTCCAGCACCCAGGGCTGCATCGGGATAGGTCCATGTGGCTTCTCCTTGGGGATGTCTTGTAGGAAGTCAATCTTGCAATCTGAAGCAGGGAACTGCTAAGGCAGCTGCACCCTGGTGCAACCATCGCAAAGCAAGAGACCCAAGAACTAGAAAGGCGAGGCTCACCACCCATTTATCCCTCCGCCTTTCAATTAGCCCCACATGTGATTATCGGCCAGGTTGGCACAATTAACTCACTCTGTGAATCAGCACAGTTGGAAGGAGCGCTCATGGAAAGTTCTACTATTTGAAAACTCTGAACATTAAAGATTAAGGACATAAGGTCAGTATTATAAATCTTATATTAAAATTGATCAGTATCATTTAGATATGTGTGCAGGGTCTTTTCAAGGATGACATACTATTTTTGTCTTTACAATGCATCACTACATATTACTATTTATTATAATTTCACCTTTAAGGTCTCCGGTGGCACTGTGGGTGAGGCATTGGTCTGTTAATCACAAAGTTCATGATTCAAACCTACTAGCTGATCTTTGGGAGAAAGATAAGACTTCCTGCTCCTATAAAGATTTACGGTGTGGGTCAGAGGGGGAGACAAGATGGCTGCCAGAGAAAGCAAACACAGGAAGATCTCCTTGACAACTGCCAGAGAAAGTCCAGGAGAGGGGTATCCTGAACTTCCTGACAGCAAGAATCTCAGCTTAAAGATAAGTAGACCCAAGTTCCTTAAGGTGGGAGGGCAGTAACATTTGGTGACTCCCCTTTACCAGTGACAGGACCAGCATCTGTGAGCCCCACTCCTCCTGGGGACAACCCATTTTTCCCAGTCCCCAAAGCAACCAGCCTGCCCAACCTCTTACCTCCCTGGCCTCAGGGAGATGGGTCTGCATGGGCAGCTTAGCATCCAAGTTTAACTTTCCACTTGTCTTTCTTTATTTTTTCCCCCCTTTTCTTCCTCCTCCTTTCCTGCTTTGAGTATTGGTGCCCTTCCCTACCACTTGTCCCACCTCCCCCATATATTAACAAAATAATGTTAACATAATAACACTATCAAAGAGCAGGTTTCCCACCCACAAGGTAGTTTTATTTTTTACTGTTGTTTTGGGTTTTTATATATATACATATACACATACACACACACACACAAGAAGAAAAGAGAAAAAAGAAGCCAATCAAAAGAGTAGTAGAGTGGATTAGAAAGCAAGACCCATATTTATGCTGCCTACAAGAGAACACCTTACGTTCAAAGACAAAAATAGTCTAAAAATCAAAAGATGGCCAAAAAATCTACCAAGCCAATAGCAACCATAAAAAGACGGGAGTAGCAATATTCTCTGATGAAATAGATATCAAGTCACGTAACATGACAGATAAGACTGGACACTACACACAATGGAATACTATGCTTCCCTGAAAAGTAGCAATGACATGAGGGACCTGGAAACCATTATGCTGAGTGAAGTTAGACAATCAGAAAAGGACAAATATTGTATGAGCCTACTATTATTATACTATTATAAGATGGCTAGACCAGAGGATGTACACTGGTGCAGGTAGGAATTGGAAACAGGGAATCCAGGGCGGATAATCCCTTCAGGACCAGTGGTGAGAGTGGCGATACTGGGAGGGTGGGGTGGGAAGGGGGAACCAATTACAAGGATCTACATATAACCTCCTCCCTGGGGGACGGACAACAGAAAAGTGGGTGAAGGGAGATGTCGGACAGTGTAAGATATGACAAAATAATAATTTGTAAATTATCAAGGGTTCATGAGGAAGGGGGTAGATGGGAGGGAGGGGGGGAAATAAGGAGCTGATGCCAGGGCCTTAAGTGGAGAGCAAATGTTTTGAGAATGAGGAGGGCAATGAATGTACAAATGTGCTTTACACAATCGATGTATGTATGGATTGTGAGAATAGTTGTATGAGCCCCTAATAAAATTATTTTTTAAGAAAAGTAAGACTGTTACCAGCATTGTTAAATATCTTAATGTACATACTAATTAAATGACTTACAAAAAATAAAAGTGCATTTAAAAGAAGGGGAAAAGAGAAGCACCAAGGTGAAGGCAGACCACTGCTGCTGGGCATGCATTCTTCTACTCCAGTCCCCTAAGAGTGAGGTCAGAGCCAGCCCGGAGCTCAGGAAGCATCGATGACGGGCCTATGAAGGAGCCCTGTGGTGCAGTCTTATTCATACTGTGTTAAAATCCACATAGTCTAATGTCTTTCCATAGTCAATGAAACACAGGTAAACGTCTTTCTGGTATTCTTTGTTTTCAGCCAAAATCCAACTGATGTTAGTTAGCACTGATACTGTGTGTTCCACCTCCTCTTCTGACTCCTGCTTGAATTTCTGGGAACTCCACCAGTGTATTACTAAAGCCGTTTTAAAATTATGTTCAGCAAAATTTTACTTGCACATGACATTAGTGATAGTATTCTATTATTTGGTTGCCTACCTTTGGAATGGTAGGGAACTCGATTTCTTCCAGTCAGTTGGCCAAATAGCTGTCTTCCACATTTCTTGGCGTAGATGAAATGATTGCCAAGTGCTTTCAGTTTCTCAGCTTGTTGAAACATTTCAATTGGTATTCTGTTAGTTCCTGAAGCTTTTGTTTTTTGCTTCAGTGTGTAGCTTGGGCATCTTCCTTCAGTACCACTACTTCAGAATCATATGGTTCCTCCTAAAATGTTGAACATCAGCTAATTATTTGGATGCATTGATTCTGCATATTCCACCTCTTCTTTTGAAAATTTTCTTACAGCTTGAGACATGCTGAGCATGTCCTTCTAAATCCAAGTCTTTGCATATTTCATTATAATACTTTGTCTTCTCAAGCTGCCCATTGAAATACTCCATTTACCTCTTTCATTTTTATCATTTCTCCCATTTGCTCTAGTTACTCTATAAATTCTAGAACAAGTTCCAGGGTCTTTTCAGACATCTACTTCAGTCTTTTCCTGTCGTTTTTTTTTTTTTAAACAGCTTTATTGGCATACAAGCCACGTATCATGCAATTCAGTTCAGTCATAGCAAGAAGACTTGTATAATCATTATCACAATCAATATTAGAACATTTTCTTCTTTCTTGTACCCATTGTTATTAGTTTTCCCTTTTCCCCTACTTTACCTGCAAGAAACCATTAATTCCATTATTGTCTCTAGATTTACCTATCCTGGATTTCATATACAGAAAAATAAACAACAGCAAAAACTAACACTAGTAACAAGGTAAAATGAAGAAAAACCTTAGCCATAAAGAGAGTAGAAAATATTAAAGTCTAGAACCACTTTAAAATGGGTTAAAGGGGGAGAGATCAATAATCCTCTTTCCAATACATTCTACATGATAAGACTGTTCACATCCCTGGTCTCTTGTCAGCGAGGATTCACCAGAGGCTGAATCCACATGTATTTCACCTAGACTTTTTTTTTTTTCAAACTGGAGTGGTATCAGCTTTTACATTGTGAACACCTGGTTTTCAGAAAGCTCTGGAGGACAGTAGAAGCTCAAAATCTATTGGCAGGCTCCACACACGGATCAAGCCTGAGGTACATCCCCTCAGATTGTATGTGCATAGCCTTGTCAAACAGAAAGCATTGCAAAGTCAATTATGATGGATATTATTAGGTTAAAATGTAATATCTTTCCTGTCTCTTTAATAATCGTTTGCTTTCGTCATATATGAAGTTCTTGATGTTATCCCAGTAGCGCATCAGGTCTTTGGTCATTAGTGCATCAAATCTACCCAAGAGCTGTTCTCTGAAGTCAGGTGAGATATGTTTGAGGTTGTATTTGGCTCTTGTGAACTTGTTTTAATTTCTTCAGCTTCAGCTCGAGCCTGCAAATGAACAGTTGATGACCCGCTCCAGTCTCTGCTTCTCTTTAACTAAATGCTGAGTGGCTGAGGCTGCTGGTTAAGTCACACTGTAATACAGTGACAGCACTCTACTTCCCTGGGTGCGGTGATAGGGCTACATCTGAAGGGCTATGGGCGCATGGAGTGGTGGTGGCACAGGGACTGCTTCAGTAATCGATGTGCGCCTATGATGAGATGCTGTCTCAAAGAGCTGCTCTGTGACATGTGCTTTTATCACCATGCAGTCATGGGACAGAAATCCACTTTTAGCAGTGCTGCTGCCCAGGTAGGTAGCCACTAGCAACATGATCTGTTGAGCTCCTGATAACGTAACTAGTCTGAACTGCTAAGTGTTGCAAGTATGAAATACATTTTGAAAACTTTGAAAACTTGGTATGAATGAAAGAATAAAAAACTCATTAACAATTTTCACATTGATTACATGTTACAATGATAATGTTTTACATAAAATGAAATATTAAAAGAAATGTAATTATTTTTTACTGTTTTAATGATGCTTGTGAAATTTTTTTCCCCCGCAAAAAGTATTATTCTTAACAGTATTTACTTTGAAGGAATAGGGGGATAGCACATATTTTTTTACAGACAACATAAAAATGTTGTACATAATTAACAATAACTTAGTTCACTAATCCAAAATAACACAAGCCAAAGAAAACAGAAAATACTGCTTACTCTTTCTTATGCGGATACAAGTACAAAATAAGTTACTTCTTGGAATGGCGCACCTGTGGGGATCACCTGCCCATATTCTATGTGGTTTATTACATCAACACAACTTTCTTCCTGGGCCACCACCACTGCATTTGGAATCTAAGCTCTGTACACATTTATGCACAGTTGTACCTTGGTAAGGATCCAGACAGCCACATCATCTCCTGTGCCCCCCAGCAGGGGCACGTCACTGCTAGTGGACATTGTAAAGCATATTTCTTTTGTACAGTGCTGATCTGAACTACACATGAAAGGTCACAGATTCTTCGTGTAACTTCTTTTTATCAGTTATTTAAGTTTGCCATTCTCATGTGTACTTTACACACTTTACTTTAGACCACCAAAATTAACCAATATACGTGGGGAATTGATATCAACTCTTGGTCTTGTTAATGTTTCTCTTGAGATAACTGTTTTATCAAAATCAAATTTTCACTTGTTCATTAATACTGTTTTTTGAATAAGAGATTAAGAATAAGTCTTTCCATGTTGCTTATATTAATAACTCTTTGCATTTGAAAATATATATGATTTCTAAAGCATAACAGTATATGAGGTGCTTCTAATAGTTCCAGAGATAATAGAATTGAAAGATAATGGAATTTTTCCATGAACTTTTTGAAGCCCTCACAATGGAGAATTATTATGTTACTATGGTGGCTCTGTCAGGTAAGTGTTGAACTGCTAATTGCAAGGTCTCTGGTTCAAACCCACCAGCCTATCCAAGGGAAAAAGATGAAGCTGTCTGCTCCTATAAAGATTTTCGGCCTCAGAACCCCTATATTGGGTCACTAAGTGTCAGAATCGACTTGATGCCAGTGGGTTTACATCTTGAGGTGTGTAATTAAAGACTAATGCATGTCTGCAACCATCTCGTAAACATAACTCACTATGCTTTAATAGTATGCATTGAGTATTCTTTTCTTTCCAGGATTGAATATGATGCGTATCGTACTGACTTGGAGGAATTGAATCTTGGACCACGGGATGCAAACACTCTGCCAAAGATTGAGCAGTCACAGCACCTGTTCCAAGCACATAAGGAAAAATACGATAAAATGCGCAGTGATGTTTCTATTAAACTGAAGTTTCTAGAAGAAAATAAGGTAAATGTATTCTTTATCATCTGAGATCTTTGTGTGGACTTTAAAATTACCTTGAAAAAAAAGGGATATATTAGGTAAGTCATTTTGAAAGACTCATTACCTCTAAACCAGCTATATATAGTTCTTCCCAGAGTAAAAATAAATTTTCCAAGAATAAACCAAATTTCCAAATGACCAAATTTCACAAGAATAAGCTATGCCTGTATGACTGCTACTTCTCTTACTGCAACTCTTTTTTGAGACTTAGCAATGAATCTCCAGATTTAGACACAAAGCAAGATGGTGATGGTAGTGGTCGTTGGCTGTCCTCTAATCAGTTCCACCTCATAGCAACCCTATGTTCAGAATAACAGACAGAATATTGCCCAGTGCAATCTTAGACTTCCTATGTCTAAGCCCATTGTTGCAAACTGTCACTCTGTCTCATTGACAGACTTCCTCTTTTTCACTGACTCTACTTTACCAAAGGCTGTCATTCTCAGGACCTGGTCCTTCTTGATGTGACCAAAGTACGTGAAAGGAAGTATCACCATCCTCCCTTCTAAGAAGCATTCTAGCTGTACTTCCTCCATAACAGATTTGTTTATTCTTACGGCATCCATGGTATACTTGTTACTATTCACCAACAGCGTAATTCAAAGACTTCAGTTCTTCTTTGCTCTGTATTCCTTGTTCAGCTTTCAGGTGCATCTGAAGTCACTGAAAATACCATGGCTTGGAACAGGTACAACCTAGACTTCAAAGTGACATCCTTCTTCTTTAACAGTTTACAGAGTATCTTGTACAGCAGATTTGCCCAATGTAATACATCCTTCGATTTCATGGCTTCTACTTCCATTCATTGTGGGTCCAAGTAAAACAAAATCTTTGGCAAGTTCAATCTTATTCCCATTTATCATGAGATGGCTTATAGGTCCAGTTGTGGAGATTTTGGTTTTCTTTACATTGAAATATAATTCATACAAAAGGCTGTGGTCTCTAATTTTCCTCTATAAGTGCTTCAAATCCTATTAGCTTTCTGCAAGCCAGGTTATGTCATCTGCATATGGCAGTTTGTTGAGGGGCCTTCCCTCAGTCCTGATAGCACATTCTTCTTCATATAGTTCAGTTTCTCAGATTATTTGCTCAGCATACAGATTGAATTGAATAAGTATGGTGAGAAGAGGATACACCATGATACACGCCTTTCTTGAACTATGTATTACCCCCTTGTTCCATTCAAATGACTGCCTCTTGGTCTAGAGACAAATTCCACATGAGCATAATTAATTGTTCTGGAATTCCCATTCTTTGCTGTGTTGTCTATAATTTGATAGGGTACACACAAATGTCGTGGCATAGTTATTAAAACACAAGTAGACCTGCTTTCAGTAAAGAGCCATCTTACAAAAACACTGATAGCCTTCATTTCACACCCTTTTCTAAATCCAGCTTCAGTTTCTCTCAGTTCCCTGTGGATGGACAGTTGTAACTGTTTTTCAGTTATTATTATGCCCTGCCGCTCACCTTTGGGAACTCTGTCTCCCTAATCTGGGTATCATAAAGGTGCGCCTCATCTATCAAGAATAGGTGCAGGGCATGCCTCAGCTGTTGTTTTTTCTGTCTCCAGTTCTCCTGTAAATCCTGCAGACATCAAAATCAATATTTGTGCAGTGGAAAATAGGCCGAAACTAATGACTTGGAGCCCATCTAAATGTCGTACAGCTCAGCTTAAACTGCCATGTGTTGTGTCTGGGGAAGCCAGAGGCAGACACACAGAGGAAGACTGGAGCTGGCAGGTGGAAGAGAACGCGTATCTGTGTTCTTCTGCCCTTTCTTTACTTCACTAGTTCTATTGTGTCCTGTTCTGCTCTGGAATTGAGAAGTTCAGTCAAATTCCTGATTCCAGGGCAAAAAATAAAACAGGATGAAAAATACTCACCACCTGGCGATGTGCGTGGAGTGGAGACCCAAAGCCTATCTGTAGACAATTGGACATCCCCTGAGTCACAAGGAAGAGATGAGCCAGTCAGGGTGCAGTATAGCACCGATGAAACACAACTTTCCTCTAGTTCTTTAATGCTTCCTCCCCCCACTATCATGACCTCAATTCTACCTTACAAATCAGACTAGACCAGATCAGGTATCTGCAACAGATAAGAGCCTGCAACACAGGGAATCCAGGATAGGTAAACCCCTCAGGACCAACAATGTGCATAGAAATACCAGGAGGATAAGGGGAAGGTAGGGGGAGAAAGGGAATCGATCACAAGGATCAACATGTAACCCCCTCCCAGGGGGACGAACAACAGAAAAGTGGGTGAAGGGTGACAGAGGACGATGTAAGATATGAAAGTAATGATGTATAACTTACCAAGGATTCATGAGGAAGGGAGGGGGAATGGAGGGGGGAAAATGAGGAGCTGATATCAAAGGCTCAAGTAGAAAGAACATGCTTTGAAAATGATGAAACTTCTTTTGTATTCTTTGTGTTTCAAACATAAGGCCTTAGATTCTTCTGAGAACATGGTATTTGATAATGTGATAGGCTTTTTTGTAGGGGCTGGGGAGGGCAGTCTTTCTACACCCCGGTGAAAATGACCCTGAGCTGTTTTGGGCAGAGCAGCTGATGTGTATCATGTACTAGTAGTGTGGCATAAGCCTACTGATCTTTTGTAGTTGTATTAAACTTGAACTCAGAAAAAAAAATGATGATGGCAATATATCTACAAATGTGCTTGACACTGGGTGATTGTGTGAATTGTGATATGAGATGTAAGAGCCCCCAGTAAAAATATTTAATAATAAAAAAAAAATACTTCCCACCACCAGCAACCTGTCAATGTGTGGTTTATGGTTTGCTGTGATCTCGAAGCTGTGCCACGAGTATTTCAAATAAGCAGCAGGCTCACCCCGGTATGCTATTTGCAGCAGAACTTCCAGACTAAGAGAAACTAGGGGGAAATGCCTAGCAGCTTCCTTCCAAAAAATTAGCCAGTGACCCATAGATCACAACAGAAAATTATCTAGCATAGTGCAGAAAGATGGGCACCCTAGGTTGGAAGGCAACCATGGGTTCCAGCCTGCCAGTGATCATGAGGATGGCACAGATTGGACAACATTTTTTGTGTGTGTGCACAGTGTCATCATGAGTCATAGTAAGTGGGAGGCAACAAACAGCAAAGAACAACCAACCTCTACCACCTACTAGCTTTGTGACATAAGGAATAATCTTTCCAGGCTTTTGTAGTCTTGGGCCAGGGAGTGGGGGGAGGTGACAACAAGTAAATCATACGTTCTGGTGAGACGGCAGATGAAAATGAATGATCTCTTGAAGCCTAAGATACTCTATACAGGTACTATGAGACATCTACTGTGTGCCTTTCAACGTTTTAAAAAGCAGAGATGCCACTTTGCGTACTAAGGTGCTCTTACCTAAGCCATGGAATTCAAATCCCTTCATATGCATATAAAACTGCACACTGAATGGAGAGGCCCGCACAGGACTTGACGCATTTGAATTACAATGTGCAAACAATGTTGGGAGTACTGTGGACTGCCGGGAGAACATAGTCTGTCTGGGAAGAAGTACAGGTGGAACACTCCTTGGAAGCAAGGATGACAAGACTTTGTCTCTCATACTTTGGCCATATTCTCAGGAGGGCCTGTCACTGGAAAAGGGGCTTTATGGCCAGCAGGTCATCTCTGTAAATTATGTGTCAGTTACATGGCTCTCACACCAACTTAATCTTGGAGGCAATGAGGAAAAACAGTTGTGTTTTTTAAAGATTCTTCTGCAACTTAATTAAAAGAAAGTACACACACACAAACCAGTGAGGACTCTTGTACAGATAAATGAGACATTTAAGACCTAGAACTCAGTAGAAAGGAAAGAAGTCAGTGATTCCAAGACTGTGGAATCAAAATAGAAAGCTGATTTGGCTTAAAGGGATGTGAGTTGGGAATTTGTTCTATTTGACCAAATACTCGGTTGTAGATGATGACAAGGCATTCAGGTAGATATGAATGTGGTGGGGCAGCTAATGATGTGGATTTGGAGTTTGAATGAGAATGAGCAAAGTGTCTGAGATAAAGAATTGGAGGTCATTGCTTTGAAAATACCTGTCATCTTCTTATCTGTTCATTTCACCGCTTTTTTACTAAAAATAGAAAATTGTCCTTTTTCTCAAGAGTTTTATGTTCTTAATAACTTAGAGATAATCTTTGTTTTTCCCTTTCCACAGTTGTCATCAACCCAGGTTTCAAATTTGAACTAAGCTGTGTTTAAAAGGAAATCTGTAAAGAAACTTTGGTGATGTGTGTTTTTCCCCTAAACCCTTCAGAACTGCACAGAAGTTTTGCTTTCTGTTCCATTAAGCAATCACTGTGATTCAGATGGACACAGCTCTGTTGCAGGACGTTTCTCTGGGTGGGTTGGTGTGGTGAGGGATGGTGGATAATTTTTGTTTTGCGGGGATTGTTGCTGCGTAACTTGCCTGCACCTTTTGTATTAACTGCTTTGAAGAAGCAAAAAGGAAGTCTGTAGGCTGAGACTCTGTCATCCTTGTTTGGTTTTTTGGCATTTTGAGATGCCTCAAATCTGGAAGTTTTTTGTTTTGTTTTTTCTTAAACTACACCTGAATTTGTACCATAACATCCTTTTCACACAGCTGTTAAATAATCTCCTAAGTACTTGAATTTTAACAAAATATCGTACACTTTCCTCAATATTCTGAGTGTGTAAAACACGTAAGTCATCTGAAGCATCAATGGATGTACTGTTTTATAATACGGTGATGATCTGGGGGCTATTGCTGTGTGTAGAACTTTTGTAAATTTTTGAAATGTGTTTTGTTTTCTAGTCCTTTGGGTATCTTCTCATAGCAGCAGCCAGCAGTCTGAAGAATACCTCCCTCAAAAACAAACCACCCAAACCCCTCCTGGCCATTGAGTCGACCTTGAATAAGGAACAAACTAAGAGGCATTTCTGTGAATATAAAGTTTCAGAATTTTAGTGGCCA